CATGTCCTTCATGTCAGTGAATGACCTACTTTGAATTGACCCTCTGTAGCCTATGTGTTAAGTAAATAAAGTTGCCTTGCCTTGAATGAAATTAATTAATATTAGATACTGTGTTTTTAAGTGGCGATGGAGATTATTTGTTGACCCTGCTTTAAAGCAGGGGTTCCCAAAATTATACAGATGGCTAGTTCGCCCCTGAAAATGTCTATGCAAACGTTATTATTAATAATAATTAAAAAGAAAAAATTATTAAAAAAATTAATCAATTTTTTCTTATAATTTTTTTTTTTTCAATTTTCCATTTTTATTTTGTAATCATCTCGCGACCCCCACTTCCCACTTTGGGAACCCCTGCTTTAAAGGATATGGTGCCTTTACAAATGGTGCGCTTTATCACTGCCTGGGTTTTGGTTGAAGTGCATCCAAGTGCTGCTGCGTTTTCTCGTTCACTCCAACTTGACTTCTCTCTGTCGCGTATTCCCTTAAGACCCACCCCATCTCACTCCTCGAGCTGAAACCTACCAATCAGAGTAGGGGCGGGTCTTCACAAAATTCGTTTGGGGAACAAAATCAAGCTTTTTAACAGGCGAGTGGATTTTGGCAGGCAGTGAGTTTACGGACCAACGATGGAACGATAACAAGAACGGCTCTCACCAAGTACGGCTCGGTTCCCCTCGTTCGTTCAAAAGAATCGGCTCGTTCGCGACCGACACATCACTAATACAGAAATGTAGCAGGACTTAAGGACTGCTAAGCACTGTGCAGCGGAGGTTAGAAAACATATTTGATAATGTTTGTTGAGGTTTTCCTCCTTTTTATATAATATATTTCTATCTCATCCTGTTGTGTCCACCTCTTCAGGCGGCGTGTGAATCTGGAGCCGGAGAGTGAAGGCGTTCAGGCGGAGAGAGAGAAAGAGGCCGCGCTGTGAGTCTACACTGAGAAATATGTGACATATGACAAACATGCAGCTTTCTGTACGAAAAAACACATGTGATCAAATTAGGTATAGTTTTCAAGAGCTGGAAGCGAGCTGTAACATGAAAAGCACAACATTGTGTTTTTTATATTTTAAGTGTGTTTTTTAATGCATTTTTGCTTTTAAATACATTTGAATCTGACCCTTTATGTAAAGTAGCTTTGAGTGCCTTGAACAGCACTTTTGTGAATAAAATATTGAATATTCTTAATTTTGTGAGAGTTAGTATGAACACAATCTAATAAAAAAACAACCTATTAAAGAAAAAATGTACACATGTTTTAAGAAAGGCATAGCTAGTTAGAGCCTGATTGACTAAGAATTAAACATTTACTTATGTGACACCGGTTGAGATGAAACGAAAAGGCAGCATTACCCGCAGAAGTTTTATTTTCCCCCCAGATGTTTATCTGTGTTGTGTCCTGAATAATAACAGAGGTGTGTTTATGTTTCCAGATGTTTGGAGTTCCTGCTGCAGAGCGGAGCGACGGCCTCTCTGAGAGACAAGCAGGGATACAGCTCCGTGCACTACGCTGCTGCATACGGTCACAGGCACTGTCTGGAGCTGGTGAGCACACACACACACACACACACACACACACACACACACACACACACACACACACACACACACACACACACACACACACACACACACACACACACACACACACACACACACACACACACACACACACACACACACACACTATATCTCACACGACAC